GCAGACCACACAAGAGCACGGCAGGCCACACAGGAGCACGGCAGACCACACAGGAGCGCGGCAGACCACACAGGAGCACGGCAGACCACACAGGAGCACGGCAGACACCACAGGAGCATTGCAGAGCACACAGGAGCACGGCAGACCTCACGGGAGCCCGGCAGACCCCAAGGAGCACGGCAGACCACACAGGAGCACGGCAAGCCACACAGGAGCACGGCAGACCCCACAGGAGCACGGCAGACCTAGGAGCACGCAATCCTACAGAAGGCACGGCAGACCAACAGGAGCACGGCAGACCACACAAGAGCACGGCAGGCCACACAGGAGCACGGCAGACCACACAGGAGCACGGCAGACCACAAAGGAGCACGGCAGACCACACAAGCACGGCAGACCCCACAAGAGCACGGCAGACCCCACAGGAGCACGGCAGACCCCACAGGAGCACGGCAGAGCAGACCCTAAAGGAGCACGGCAGACCACACAGGAGCAAGGCAAACCACAGGAGCACGGCAGACCGCGCAGGAGCACGGCAGACCCCACAGTAGCAAGGCAGACCCCAAAGGAGCACGGCAGACCACCGGAGCACGGCAGACCACACAGGAGTACGGCAGACCCCACATGAGCACGGCAAATCCCAAATGAGCACGGCAGACCACAAGAGCACGGCAGACCACACAGGAGCACGGCAGACTCCACAGGAGCACGGCAGACCACAAAGGAGCACGGCAGACCACACAGGAGCCCGGCAGACGCCACAGGAGCACGGCAGACGCCACAGGAGCACGGCGGAACCCAAGGAGCACGGCAGACCGCGCGCGGGTACAACATAAACGCGCCTTTTTGTTGTACCCCGAACGCCGCTGGCGTTTCCCCAACAGGAGCACGGCAGATCTCACAGGCGCGCGGCAGACCCCAAATGAGCACGGCCGACCACAGGAGCACGGCAGACCCCAATGAGTACGGCAGACCCCAAAAGAGCACCGTAGACGCCTCAGGAGCACGGCTGACCACACAGGAGCACGGCAGACCACACAGGAGCGCGGCAAACCACAAAGGAGCAAGGCAGACCCCAAATGAGCACGGCAGTCCACACGTTCGCACGGCAGACCGCACAGGAGCACGGCAGACCCACACCGCAGACCAAGCACGGCAGACACAGGGAGCACGGCAGACCACACTGAGCACGGCAGACCACACAGGACACGGCAGGACCCCACGGGAGCACGGCAGACCACGGAGCACGGCAAACCACACAAGAGCACGGCAGACCATACAGGAGCACGCTAGACCACACAGGAGCACGGCAGACCACACGTTCGCACGGCAAACTCCACAGGAGCACGGCAGACCCCATAGGAGCACGGCAGACCACAGGAGCACGGAAGACCGCACAGGAGCACGGCAGACCACACAGGAGCACGGCAAACCAAGAAGGAGCACGGCAGACCACAGGAGCACCGCAGACGCCACAGAAGCACGGCAGACCACACAGGAGCACGGTAGACCCCACAAGAGCACAGCAGAACACACAGGAGCACGGCAGACCACAGGAGCACGGCAGACCCACTTTGGGAGGATGCCTCGAGCCAAACGCTTACTTTTGATAAACGCGATGTCGCTAAGATCTATTTTGTGTGAGGATGTCCCAGGCGAAATTGCAATTTCGAGGAACCTGTGTGTTCTGCTGCATTCGCATTTTGGGAGGATGTCTCAGGCAAAACGCTTGTTTTTGCAAACTTCGGTGCTGCTACATTTTTAGTTTTGTGAAGATGTCTCAAGCGAAATCGCCATTTTGGGGTCGACTCCAGGGCGCTCTCGGGGTCATGTTGGAGCTCGGTTTCAGCTCTTTGGGGCCATCTTGATGCCCTCAAAAGTTATTGCAGCGCGATGTTGGGCGCATCTATTTTTCGAGGATGTCCCTAACGAAATCGCCATTTTATGAAGACTGGTTTGGACCATGTGGATACAATCCCAGGAGCGATTCCAAGACGATAGCATAACAGCATGTTTCAAAGCAGGGTTGTCGTATTTTTCAATTTCTTGAGGATGCCCCTAGCGAAATTGAAATTTTCTGCAGTCTTCAGGGCGCTCTTGGAGCCTTATTGGGCTCCCTTTTGGGCTCTCATTTCTTCCTCTAGAAGCACCTCAAGAAAGATGTCAAGACGATGTTGAGACCATCTCATTTTTTTGAGGATGTCCCCAGCGAAATGCTCATTTTCTGCCGTGCTCCTTTTTTTCCGCCTGCCGTGCTCCTGCTCATTTTCTGAGGACGTCCCTAGCGAAAACGTCATTTTTAACATAAGAGGTTGTAAAACACCTCTGTCGGCATCTCATTTTTTCGAGGATGTCTCAAGCGAAACGCTCATTTTTCATGCACAACATGATGGACCCACGAACCCGGAAAGGGATATAGACATGTGGAGCATGGGCACGTTTTCACGATACCCAACGGGGCAACACCTCACGAAACATCCCACGAGACACCTCACGAAACATCCCACGAGACACCTCACGAAACATTCCGCGAGACACCTCACGAAACATTCCACGAGACACCCCGCGAAACATTCCACGAGACACCCCACGAAACATTCCACGACGACAGGCAACACTCAACCAAGGCGGTGTGGTCGTGCTGGGGAGTGGTCGTGCTGGGGTGTGGTCGTGCTGGGGGGTGGTCGTGCTGGGGGGTGGTCGTGCTGGGGGGGTGGTCGTGCTGGGGGGTGGTTGTGCTGGGGCGTGGTCGTGCTGGGGCGTGGTCGTGCTGGGGCGTGGTCGTGCTGGGGTGTGGTCGTGCTGTGGTGAGGTCGTGCTGGGGTGTGGTCGTGCTGGGGTGTGGTCTTGCTAGGGTGTGGTCGTGCTGGGGTGGGTCGTGCTGGGTGGGTGCTGGGGCGTGGTCGTGCTGGGGTGTGGTCGTGCTGGGGTGTGGTCGTGCTGGGGTCGTGCTGGGGTGTGGTCGTGCTGGGGTGTGGTCGTGCTGGGGTGTGTTCGTGCTGGGGCGTGTCGTGCTGGGGGGTGGTCGTGCTGGGGGTGTGTCGTGCTGGGGGTGGTCGTGATGGTGGTGCTGGGGTGTCGTGCTGGGCGTGCTGGGGTGTCGTGCTGGGGTGTGGTCTGCTGCTGGGGTAGGGTCGTGCTGGGGTCGGGTCGTGCTGGGGTGTGGTCGTGCTGGGGTATGGTCGTGCTGGGGTGGGGTCGTGCTGGGGTGGGGTCGTGCTGGGGTCTGGTCGTGCTGGGTGTGGTCGTGCTGGGGTTGTCGTGCTGGGGTATGGTCGTGCTAGGGTGGGGTCGTGCATTTCGCTCGAGACATCCTGCCAAAATTCCAGGAAATCGTACAAAAACAAACGAATTAGTCGAGACATCATCGAAATTCCTTCGCGCGGGGCGCTTTTCCGCGTCGCGGTCGGCTCTGCAAAACAAGCGTTTCGCTCGAGACATCCTCGGCAAACTCTGCGGAGCAAGCGTTTCGCTCGAGACATCCTCAACACACGAAAAAGTGGCCCGCACCCTGTGATTTATCGATCGGGATTTCAAAAACAAGCGTTTCGCTCGAGACATCCTCAAATTTTAATTCGCCGGCCTCCTTCGACCTCGTTATTTATCAGGGAAAAAATTCGCCGGCCTCCCTCAAGTTGGCACCGGGGGACAGGTTTACCTACTAAAAGAGAACCCTGGGCCCCCGCCCTTTCCGGGAACAAAAATCCTTGACATTTTTCAACACCCCGACTTTCTGAGGATGTCTCAGGCGAACCTGACCGGACAAGAACGGGAAGCGTTCTTTTGTCCCCTGGGCTTATGAGATATTCCACGTTTTTAGTACGGCATACCACAGCAGTGCCACGTAACACTGCCGTGCTTCTTTGGGGTCTGCCGTGCTCCTGTGGAGTTTGCCGTGCGAACGTGTGGTCTGCCGTGTTCCTGTGTGGTCTGGCGTGCTCCTGTATGGTCTGCCGTGCTCTTGTGTGGTTTGCCGTGCTCCTGTGTGGTCTGCCGTGCTCCCGTGGGGTCTGCCGTGTCCTGTGTGGTCTGCCGTGCTCCTGTGTGGTCTGCCGTGCTCCTGTGTGGTCTGCCGTGCTCCTTCTTGGTCTGCCGTGCTCATGTGGGGTCTGCCGTGCTCCTGTGCGGTCTGCCGTGCGAACGTGTGGACTGCCGTGCTCATTTGGGGTCTGCCTTGCTCCTTTGTGGTTTGCCGCGCTCCTGTGTGGTCTGCCGTGCTCCTGTGTGGTCAGCCGTGCTCCTGAGGCGTCTACGGTGCTCTTTTGGGGTCTGCCGTACTCATTTGGGGTCTGCCGTGCTCCTGTGGTCGGCCGTGCTCATTTGGGGTCTGCCGCGCGCCTGTGAGATCTGCCGTGCTCCTGTTGGGGAAACGCCAGCGGCGTTCGGGGTACAACAAAAAGGCGCGTTTATGTTGTACCCGCGCGCGGTCTGCCGTGCTCCTGTGGGTTCCGCCGTGCTCCTGTGGCGTCTGCCGTGCTCCTGTGGCGTCTGCCGGGCTCCTGTGTGGTCTGCCGTGCTCCTTTGTGGTCTGCCGTGCTCCTGTGGAGTCTGCCGTGCTCCTGTGTGGTCTGCCGTGCTCTTGTGGTCTGCCGTGCTCATTTGGGATTTGCCGTGCTCATGTGGGGTCTGCCGTACTCCTGTGTGAGCTGTGAGCTGTGAGCTGCGGGGCCTGTGAAGGCTGAAAGAAGCCCGAGGCCCACGGAGCCCGTTGGCCCCAGGGCCTCAAGGGCCAACCCTAGGGGCCCCAAGGGAGCCGCCAGGGGGAAGGGCGCGAAGCGCCAATGCGCGAAGCGCACGATTTCAAAGAAATCAGAAGGCAGCGGGGCGGAGGCGCACATCACGCCTGACAGAGCCGCCTCGCTGCATCAACAATGCGGGGCAGAAGACGCTGCCACACGCACACGCCAAAAGAGGTGACGAGGGGCGGATACAACAGAAGGAGGAAAGTGATGCTGCATCACTCCCCTTCGTCACCTTCAGCGCGACGGCGTCTCTTGCGCCTGTCTTCGCGCGCCGTCTCTGCTGCGGCTGACCACTCGAGGAGGCTCGCTTCGTCGAGCCCGTAGGCGCTCAGCCAAGCCTCCCTCGAGGCCCCCGAGGAGTCAGGCGCCAAAGGCTCAGCCTCCGCCTCACCCGCTGCCGCCGCGCCGCTGGGGGGCCCTCGGCCGGCGTCGGCGGCCACGCCGCAAGGTGCATCATCGGGGCGGACGCCCAGCCACTCCAGGAAGCGCACTCTGGCGGCCATCGGCACCACGTCCTCCTTGCGCAAGCTGGGCACGGACGCTCCGACCCTCTTGCTGCCGCTGTGGGGCGTGCCAGCAGGGTGCCGCCCCTGCAGCCAGCGCGCCCTCTGGCCCCTCCTGCCCTTGGGAAGCCCAGCCGACCCTGGGCACTGCTCCTTGAGCTTGGGCGCCGCACCTGAGCGCCCGCCCAGCCGCGCGTACGCCCCGCAGTGGGTGCACGCCATCAGCTCCTGCTCGGCGGCTCCCTCCCCGCACTTGGCGTAGGCCAGGACGTGGCCGGCGACGACGAAGGCCGCCGCCCCGAGGGAGACGCCACCAGCGCGCGCCGCCGATGCCCACCCGTCGCCCGAACCCGAGTCGGGCGGGCGGCTGCTGGCGGGCTCCACCACCGGCTCTGCGAAGGATACGGCCGCCCGCTCGCTGCCCTCAGGGAGGCCCTCGCAGTCCTTGACCTCGATCCCCTGCCAGATGAGGGAGGCCTGCGCCACCCAGCAAGAGAGCTCCCTCACCACCTCCATCGTGCCAAAGAACTCGCGCCTGGCCACTGGGCTGGCACGGTGGAGCTCAGCCCCCGCCTTGGCCCAGCGGTCTGCATGTCCGTTGCCACGGAGGTCCGCCTCCGTGATCTTGCCATCCATCACGTCTCTGGCGGTGCAGTGGGCTGCGACCTTGGTGACCTTGAGCGTGTCCACGTCTAGCGACGCGTAGATCCCCTCCCAGAGGTGGGCGTTGGGCTTGCTGGCTGCCGTCGCGTACTTCTTACCCAACGTGAGGCAGCTGACCGTGGACGCACAATCGATGAGGATCTCGTCAACGCTCGGGCCCAGAAAGCGAGACAGCATCCAGACCGCGAAATCCTCGCCGTCCTTCGCCGTCTGGAACGGGCAGAGGTCCTGGCGCACGCTGCCGTACACCGCGCACTCCATGTTGCCGTCTGAGTCGCACTGCACGATGCTCCATCCCGCACGCCGCAGGCTCTCGTGCTCAGGGTCGAGCGCCGACCCATCCAGGTAGAGCCGCCCCCCGAGAAGACCGTCGGCGGGGCGATTGCACCACATGACTGACATGGCGTCTGACCTCGGGGCGGCCCTCGGTGGCTGAGGGAGCCAGCAGCGCGCGAAACATTCACCCGCCTCCTCTCCACGACCGCGTGCACGATGCGCACAGCGCCGAAGGCGGTCAGAGGTAGAGTCACGCCTGGCCCCCGCAAGGACAGGACACTCGAATAGCCTGTGCCAGAGGCTGCCGCGGGGGGCCTGACAGGCACAGCAGCGAGCGTGCTCCCTCTCTCCCGCCGAGTGCAGACGGGTCTGGGGCCAGTGGGCGTTGGAAAGGAAGCTCACCACCGCCGCTTTCTCCCTGTGGCTGAGCTTGCTGCCAGGCCCGAGGACCTCCGCGAAGGCCTCCCAGAACAGGGGCGACTGGGGGAGCGCCCCGTGGCTGAGGCGGGCCAGCTCCGACTTGTCCGACGCGCGCCGTGCCCCTGCCGCAGCCAGCAGGCCCAGCTCGCGCGGCCCCAACATGCGCAGGTCCAGGAGATGGCCGTCGTCGGTCGCGAGGCGGGCCCCTTGAACAAGCCTCCAGCCCACCCTGGAGAGCGAGAGGGCCAGGGCATCCACCGGCGTGCGGCAGTGCACCCAAGGGGCTGCTGCTCCCGCGTGCCTCTGCACTGCCTCCTGCACGGCCGACTCGAACATGCGCAGCGGGACCTCCCCCGACTGGAGGAGACTGGCCGCCATCTGCACCGCGGCACGAAGCAGCGCGGGGCTCGGGTCGAGATCAGTGGACCTCATGACCTCCACCACTCTGAGCCTCAACCCGAGCGAGGCGCCCTTGGGGAGCTTCCCAGCTGAGCGTACCGCCGCCAAGCGCCACGAATGCAGCTCCTTATCAGGTACACCAGTCACAGTGCGCCCCCACAGCATCGCCGCGGTGGGCCCAGCACGATGGACCATCTCGGTAGTCGCGCCAGCTGAGCGAAGCACCCCTAGCCTGCGTCCTCGGCGAAGGCCGCTGACCGCACGCACAGCTCCTTCATGAACTCCACGACGAGTGATGTTGGCGTCGGTGCCGAGGTTCCTCGCCTGAAGTCCCCTCTTGAAGGTAAAGCCATGCTCCGCCCAAGCCTCGGAGAGCTCCTTGGCGAGCTGCGGCGACGAGGTCAGGAAGACCGACTTACTCTCGTTGAGTGGAAGGTGCTGCTCACGCAGCTGTCGGACCACTTCACAACTGGCGGCCACCATCTGCAGCTTCACAAGCCGAGCCGTGCCGACCGCCTGGAGCGAAATGTCGTCGACAACATTCCTCGGCGTGACCAACGGGCTCGTCGCCCCCGCTGCCAGGAGGGCTCCCAGAACTGGGAGCTTCGCAACTGCTGTCGCACAAGCACACCCAGCCAGCACCGTCCCCGTAGTGCCGAAGGCGGGGGAAGCCATGCCCGCCGCGAGGATCATCCTAGGGGCCTGGTAGGACTGCCGTGCTCCGGTGGTCTGCCGTGCTCCTTTGGGGTCTGCCTTGCTACTGTGGGGTCTGCCGTGCTCCTGTGTGGTCTGCCGTGCTCCTGTGGTTTGCCTTGCTCCTGTGTGGTCTGCCGTGCTCCTTTTGGGTCTGCTCTGCCGTGCTCCTGTGGGGTCTGCCGTGCTCCTGTGGGGTCTGCCGTGCTCTTGTGGGGTCTGCCGTGCTCTTGTGTGGTCTGCCGTGCTCCTTTGTGGTCTGCCGTGCTCCTGTGTGGTCTGCCGTGCTCCTGTGTGGCCTGCCGTGCTCTTGTGTGGTCTGCCGTGCTCCTGTTGGTCTGCCGTGCTCTTCTGTGGTCTGCCGTGCTCCTATGGGGTCTGCCGTTGTTCGGCCGTCTTGAGGGCACTCTTAGGGCATAGTCTGCCGTGCTCCTCGTCTTGGTCTGCCGTGCTCCTCGTCTTGGTCATCCTTTCCGTCGTCTTGAGGGCGCTCTTGGTGCCTGGTCTGCCGTGCTCCTCGTCTTGGTCTGCCGTGCTCCTCTCGGTTCCTAAGCCTGGTCTGCCGTGCTCCTCGTCTTGGTCTGCCGTGCTCCTCTCGGTTCCTACGCGCGGTCTGCCGTGCTCCTGTGGGGAGCACGGCAGACCACAGGAGCACGGCAGACCACACAGGAGCACGGCAGACCACACCTCGATTTTTTGAGAATGTCTCGAGCGAAATGGCCATTTTGGGGAATCCGCCAACGAATGATCCCGTGCAGCCGCGCAACCCATATAGTTAAAGATATATATATATATATATATATATATATATTTACTCAAGGATTCAGCCAGAACGTCCCGCTTGCTTCTCGTACCTCGAAGACGGTCCCGTCAACCGTCATTTTTAACATAAGACGTCTTAAACGATAGCCTCCAACACCTCGATTTTAGGAGGATGTCTCAGGCGAAATGGCCATTTTGGGGAATCCGTTAACGAAAAATCCCGTGCAGCGCGGCAACCCATATAGTTAAAGAAAAGATATATTTACTCAAGGATTCAGCCAGAACGTCCCGATTGCTTCTCGTACCTCGAAGACGCTTCCCGTCATCCGCCGGCCTCCTTCAAGTTGGGCACGGGGACGTTGTTTACATACTAAAAGAGAACCCTGGGCCTATGCCCTTTCCGGGAAAAAGAGCCCCCCCTCTGGGGCCTCCAAAGGCTCCCGGGCCCCTTCAAGACCGGGGGGTGGCGGGGCCGATGGGTCGCTCGCGGGTCACGGGGCGGGTGGGTCGCGGGTGGGTCGCAGGCGCCGCGCCCGCCCGCCAGCGCCCTCACTATTATCCGCAAGTGTGGTGTTACATATTACCGGGACCTGCGCCCCCAAGGCCGCCATGCAGTTAGCAAGAAAGGTATCGTCACACTTTCGTGCCCGTTTCACTTATTATTCCTCCACTTCCTCCTCCTCCACTTCCTTCTCGTGCCCTTCACCCTCGCTGCTCGTGCATCGCGCCAGGCAGGCGCAGCTGTCTCGTGAGGAGTGCGGGGGTGGGAAATTGGATGCAGGTTGTGGGGTGGTCGTGAAGGTCAGCTGTACAATTTGCCAAGACTTGGCAGGGTGTGCTCCTCGACCCAGAACGGCCTTCATACGAATGGGGGGCCCATCCAAGGAGACCCCAGGAGGGGCAAACATTTACTTGAATGTTGCGTCGCCTCTCACAGGAGCCCCTAAAACGACATGTGGTGACGTTAACCCGGCCTGACCTCGGCGGTGACCTTCCAGAGGCCCCCGGAGACCTTCTAAGGTCACCGGCCGGATGTGGTGACGTGAGCCCCGTTGTTCTTCGGTGACCTTCCGGGGGTCCCTGAAGCCTTCTGAGGTCACTGGCCCCTCCGCGGGGTCCCACAACAACCGCCCCGAGCCCCAAGCTTGGAGCAGCGACCCTCGAACTCGAGGGCAGAGGGCGGAGGATGGGGACGAGGTGGGCCAGAAAACTTTGAGCCAGGGGGATGCGTACAAAGCAACAGTTTAAGACCTTTTTCTGTTAAACTTTTGTCCAGGGTCAATTTGCGGGGGCCCGCACTGGAAGCGAATGGTGCAACACACTGGCAGCAAACACGGTCCCTGGATGTCTCCCCGAGGACAGCGCGAGAGGGGGAATAAAAAGCATCGAATCGAAATCAAGCCCAAGGCCAGATCGACCCTAGGCCAAAGGACCTGCAGTAAAGTGTCCGGCCGTTTTGGCCAGTATTCCTCTTCTTCCTCTCTCCCTCCCTCCCCCCTCCCTCCTTCCATCGGCCTGGCTTCAATTCCCTGTCGCTCAGCTTAGCTGAATGGCAAGGCATTTGCAGTCGCGATGGCTGGGGGTACCACCCTCAGTTCCCCTCCACCCTCTGTGTGGGGTTCGGTGGTGCCGCTTCTTTTCGGCAGCGCTTCTGGCGGAGCCAGAATGTCAGTTGTTGGCCGATTCGGCCCCTGCGCTTTAGTGCACCCCCGAAGCGAATGTGCAAAATGCCGTCGTCCTCCTCCTCCTCGACCTTCCCCCTGTTCTGCTTGAGCCCGGGGCTATTCTACGATTTCGCTGGCATGCGAAATTCAAAACAATCGCACCATCAATTCACGGATTGCCTTGCACGCCATTGTTGCGCTTTTTTATCTGAACTACCGTACTGGTCGGTAGCCCTAGTCGGGGGGTGCTTCTGCCAACCACACGGCCCACTCTCGCGCCTCTTGGCCGGTCTGGCCGTGACCGTTTAGATTGCCACAGGGTGCACGGCTTAGTTTCAGGACGCTCGGCAGGAGCAATTGCCCCCCCTTTTCAAACCTCCTTCTTCCTCCTCCACCTCGTTTTAGAAGTGTACCGGCAATTTCTTACGGGTGGCGCCGTTTGCTTTTGGGCTGACTGGGAGCCCACTTCGAGCCCTCTTGGGGGGAGGGGGCTGTCGGGCACCCCTCGAGGTTGCCCTGGGGCTTCAGGCGTAGCTGAAAACATCCAGGGGAAGCTCCAAGAAGGCCCCAGTGGACACCAGTGGGTGCCCAAAAGAAAATTGAGTGACCCCCTTTGCTTCTGGAGCTCTCATGGGGGCCACGTGGAGCCCTCATGGGGGCCCTCTTGGGTTCCTCGAGGCTTCCCTGGGACCCCAAGCGGGACTCAGGAAGCACCAGGGGGAACTCCCAAAAGGCCCCAATGGGACCCCTAGAAACTCCAAAAGCAAGTGAAATAACGCCACTTGCTTTTGGGCAATCGCGGGGTCCACTTGGATCCCCCTTGGGGGCATTCGAAAGAATCGGATGCTCGAGATTTTCGAACTGTCCGAAAGTATCCCGTCCCTCTGGGTTTGGGGCCCCCAGGGGCTCTCGGGCCCCTCCAAAACCAATGGAAGGCGGAGCCGATGGGCCGCGGGCGTGTCGCGAGGCGGGTAGGTCGCGGGAGGGTCGCAGACGCCGCGCCCGCCCGCCCGCGCAATACCTTTTATCCGCGATTGATGGTGCTACGTTGATTTTAATTGGTCCGCGCTGCCAGGGGCCGGGCCCGATGGAAATCAAGTTGGGTCCGCGTTCTGAAGGCCGCGAGGCCTCCTGATTTTTACGTGGCTCGGCAATCATGCTTCGTAGCACGCGCTGGGCCCGCATCCTCGGGGCCACGAGCACATGTAAAGACCGATGAGTTGCGCCGCTCAAGACCCCGAGTAAATTAAACTAGATCCGCACTCCCACGGCGACGACCCTTCCCGAATCTGACTGGGTTTCCGGCACCAGTTTTACGATCCCTCGCGCCGCGCTTCCCAGGCCGCGATAAGCACTCCCGGGGCCACGCCCCGCGATGAATTGCCATGGGCCCGCACTCCGAGGGCAGCGATCCGTTGGAAATTGCAAGAGGGCCCGCGATCCTGGCGCAACAACGCCTCATGCGAAATTCTCTGGGTCCTGGCTGCCGGTACTAATGCTTCGTATACTATAGTACGCGCGGCGTCGTCGATCCGAGCGCCCTGAGCGGCCCCGATTCACACTGGATCCCAGCGGCCCAGGATCCCGCAACAGAACATAATACTGATCCCGAAGCTCCCTGAGAGGGCTGCTTGAACCCCAAACAGGCGGTGCACAACAACTGGGAAAATAACCCCTAAGACGCAATAAGCAAACTAGCCGAATATGACACAGCCAATTGGTCCCCAAGAAGGTTTTGCCGAAGAGAGGCATCCCCAGGACGGCCCGAGGATGGCCTCAACAATGGCCCTAGAAACCCGAAGGGGGCAGCGGTAGCGGGGGGGAGGGCGGCCGCGACGGCGACAAGGGAGTCCGCCGGAGAGGGGGCCTGGCGGCAGTCGCCGAAAGCTTCAAGATTATCGGGGAAGACGGCCGAAATAATGGCGATGGATTCCTCGCACATCGCCCTGTGCTCCTGCTGTGGCTCCTTCGTCAGCAGCTCCGGGATCTTCTTCCCCAAGATGGTCTTGATATCCCCCTTCGCGCCATCCAGCGCGCCCTCCCGGAAGCCCGCCACCCAGGCAGGCCACGCCTCACGGACCTCCTGAAACAGAGTTCGCAGTTCATTTAAGTCCTGGGACGTCCGGAGCTTCGCAATCACGGCAGACGCGCGGGGGCCCTCCTCGCTCTCATACTCCAGCGCGTCCCAGAAGGCGCCCAGCAGCTCCTGCCAATGCGCGTTCTTGTCCAGCGCGTTCACGGCGGAACGGACGCCCGGCCTGAGCGCCTGCCTCCCCTTGGGGTTGAACACCTCGCAAATCTTGTCCGCGGAGGAGCCCAGATATCCCGGCTCTGGGTTCATGATGCCAGCAACGGCCCTGCACCAATCCAGAATCTCGTCGAACGGCTCAATGAGCCAGTCCGGCACCGTCTGGAGCGTAATGAGGTTCTTGCCCATGGCGTCGTCGTAGAAGCCAACGAGGTGCGTCACCAACGCCCTCAACTTCTCCAAGTCCTCCTGGCACACGCAGATCAAGGAATTCCCGAAGAAACCATTTGTCATCGCCGCCTTGGCTGCGGATTTCAGCTCGTCGTTCACGGCGAAAGGGACGAGCACGCTCAGGCGCCGCTCGAGCGGCTCCAACTGGTCCTGCTCACGCGGCGGCCCCTCCTCCGGGAAGTCCGTCGTCAATGCGAACGGGCGCATCGCGGTCCACAACTCCTCATGCATCAGCCGAGGGACAGCTGAGTCCAAAGACTTGGACGCGAAGCGCAGGCGCAGAGACATGGGAAAGCCGCCCTTTCCCCGCAGGCGCGGCTCCACCTTGGTCATGTAGTCCTGCATCTTGTCCGCGCTGGTCTGCTCCGAGAACTGCGGCGAGAGCTTGTGGGCCATATCTGCGATGCTGATGTTGTCGTCGAGATCGCCAGCTTGCCGATGCTGGCCAGCCTTGCAGAGGGACTGCGAAGTGCGGCGCGCGCCGGCGATGCATTGACCTTGCACTGTGCCCGTGATGAGCCCGAGCAGATCGAAGCCCCCATCGGCGCCATCAGCTGTGTCATGAGTGAATGTGGCGGCCCTCTCACCAACCGACGTCCCGCTCGCCACGCTGCTCCCGCGCCTCTTGGCGGGGCGCCCAGGGGCTGTCAAATCAGACACGGCCTCGGAATCTTCCAGGCCACGACGGGCCGCTCTCGACGACCGCGGAGCTGCAGCAGCCGGTGCAGCGCTTGCCACCTTGGGAACACCTGATGGCTTGGCCCCCGCTGCCGCTGGTGCAGAACCCGCCGGCTTGGCTTTCTTTTTGGGCGGACCCTCCGGCGCAGCGGCGGCGGCCCGAGCGGCCATCCGCTGCCAAGCAGGCGTGTAATCACCGCCGAGGTTAGATGCTGCGGCGCTGGCGCCGCCAGCAGACCCGGCCGCATCAGTCGCACCTCCTGGCGGGACCGTCCTGTCTTTAATGATCTTGGCCGACTTGGTCTGCACGACGGAGAGGGTGGTCATCTGCATGCGGGTCTTGTCGGTCGCAACGTACTGCTTGCTGGCATTATCGACCAACTTCTGGAACGCCTCGGCTGGCTGCTCCTTGCGGATGTGCGCCCTGAGCACGTCCTCTGAGAAGACGGAAGACTGCTCCGCGTACAGGGTTAGAGTGCGAGGTCTTGAATCATCCCTGATAACAATGACTTTCTCAGGAACCCTGAGCTCGTTCAGCACCGTCACAGGCCTCAACTCCAGGTCCTCGTGGGGCACCTGGAACTCACACAGGAACTCGTCAAGCGAGTAGACCAAGTACTTCGCCTTGACGCACGTGCCCTGCCGCTCGGAAGACTGGACGTGCGACTTCAGGAACTCGTCCAGGGACATGACCTGCAATTTCTCAGTGGCCCTCTCGACGGCCCTGGCCATAGCAGTGGTCGTCGTCTTCAACTCGATCCACTCCGACCATTCCAACAGAGGCCACGCACACTTCAGAACCCAACAACCTTGGCATGCCGGTCCACGCGGCACAATCACGGTGATGCCCCGGACGATCGACTCGCAGTAGTCGGCCCACGGGGCCTCCTTGAGGGACGCATGGCATTTCAGAGAACTTGATCCGCTGCTCGAGCGCAGGATTTTGAAAAACAACGTGGTGTCTGATGATTTGCGGGACCGTGTTGAGTCCCTGCCAGGGCCCCCAGGAAGCCCCCCGAGGGCCTCCAAAATGGACCTATGAGCTCCCCCGAAGCCGCACCCAAATAAGCCAGGCGCAACGCATTGGCGCTGTGATGTCACACTCGTGATGTACAATGTTGCACTTACATTGTATCTGTCGTTCTGCCCCTCCCTGTTGAATGCCCCCGCCCCTCGAAATAGGACTCGAAACTGCGCCTTGGAGGGAAAAGGGGGGCCCTGTCTCAGCATGCTTGCCTCCAGCGACTCTTTGTAACTTATCGGGGAAGCTGCGATTCGAAGGCCACGATATTCTGTAACACGTTTTGGATGTGCGCTCCCTGGGCCCCCGCCCCTTGTGAATCCGCCGACCCCCGCTTGCCGGAAGTGACAAGGCGAGTGAGATATGTGGCTGTCCCGCACCCCCCTTTCCCCCTCGCCTGGGGTCCACAATCCAGTTTGAGGGGGGAGCGACGAGCTCCTAGACGCAGCCCTGGGGCCCCCAGAGCCTCCAAAGAGCTCAAGACGGCCCAAACCCAGCGACAAGATCATCCAAGAGAACGTCGAGACGGCCCAGGGTGGCCCCACGACGGCCCAAGATGGCTTCGAAACGGTCCACAACACCCCCAGGACGGCCCAAAGGTGCTCCAAGAGGACCGCCAGGAGGGCCCCGAGAGGCCCGAATCGCCCCAGTCCCGAAAACATGATGGACCCACGAACCCGGAAAGGGATATAGACATGTGGAGCATGGACACGTTTTCATGATACCCAACTGGGCAACACCTCACGAAACATCCCACGAGACACCTCACGAAACAGCCCACGAGACACCTCACGAAACATTCCACGAGACACCTCACGAAACATTTCACGAGACACCCCGCGAAACATTCCACGAGACACCCCACGAAACATTCCACGACGACAGGCAACCACTCAACCAAGGCGGTGTGGTCGTGCTGGGGAGTGGTCGTGCTGGGGTGTGGTCGTGCTGGGGGGTGGTCGTGCTGGGGGGTGGTCGTGCTGGGGGGTGGTCGTGCTGGGGCGCTGCGTGCTGGGGCGTGGTGTGCTGGGGCGTGGTCGTGCTGGGGCGTGGTCGTGCTGGGGCGTGGTCGTGCTGGGGTGTGGTCGTGCTGTGGTAAGGTCGTGCTGGGGTGCGGTCGTGCTGGGGTGTGGTCTTGCTGGGGTGGGGTCGTGCTGGGGTGTGATCGTGCTGGGGTGGGGTCGTGCTGGGGTGTGGTCGTGCTGGGGTGTGGTCGTGCTGGGGTGTGGTCGTGCTGGGGAGTGGTCGTGCTGGGTGGGGTCGTGCTGGGGTGTGGTCGTGCTGGGGTGGGTCGTGCTGGGGTGGGGTCGTGCTGGGGTGGGGTCGTGCTGGGGTGGGTTCGTGCTGGGGTGCTCCGCACCCTGTGATTTATCGATCGGGTCGTGCTGGGGTGTGGTCGTGCTGGGGTGTGGTCGTGCTGGGGTGTGGTCGTGCTGGGGTGTGGTCGTGCTGGGGTGTGGTCGTGCTGGGGGGTGGTCGTGCTGGGGGGTGGTCGTGCTGGTGGGTGTGGTCGTGCTGGGGGGTGGTCGTGCTGGGGCGTGGTCGTGCTGGGGCGTGGTCGTGCTGGGGCGTGGTCGTGCTGGGGTGTGGTCGTGCTGTGGTGAGGTCGTGCTGGGGTGTGGTCGTGCTGGGGTGTGGTCTTGCTGGGGTAGGGTCGTGCTGGGGTGGGTCGTGGGGTGGGGTCTGTCGTGCTGGGGTCTGGTCGTGCTGGGGTGTGGTCGTGCTGGGGTATGGTCGTGCTAGGGTGGGGTCGTGCATTTCGCTCGAGACATCCTGCCAAAATTCCAGGAAATCGTACAAAAACAAAGGAATTAGTCGAGACATCATCGAAATTCCTTCGCGCGGGGCGCTTTTCCGCGTCGCGGTCGGCTCTGCAAAACAAGCGTTTCGCTCGAGACATCCTCGGCAAACTCTGCGGAGCAAGCGTTTCGCTCGAGACATCCTCAACACACGAAAAAGTGGCCCGCACCCTGTGATTTATCGATCGGGATTTCAAAAACAAGCGTTTCGCTCGAGACATCCTCAAATTTTAATTCGCCGGCCTCAAAAACAAGCGTTTCGCTCGAGACATCCTCTAATTTTAATTCTCGGGCTCGTTATTTATCAGGGAAAAATTCGCCGGCCTCCTTCGACCTCGTTATTTATCAGGGAAAAAATTCGCCGGCCTCCTTCAAGCAGGCACCGGGGGACTTGTTTACAAACTAAAAGAGAACCCTGGGCTTAAGCCCTTTCCGGGAAAAACGTGCATGTTTAGCATACCCGCCTTTTTTGTCTTGACTGCGTCCAAGACGGCCCAAAAGGCCGCCAAGGTGCTCCCAAGACGGCTCACGAGGTTCCAGAGAAAGCCCAGACACGGCCCCTGATGGCACCAAGACGGCCCCAGGGCCCCCCAAGAGAGACTGGACTGCCACCTGAAGTGCCGATGTCGCCTCGACGGTCCAGAATATCACTGAGATACTCGTCACAAAAGCAAGTTGAGGCCTCGAAACATTGTCCCGAATCGTAAACCTCACGGCGCGGCGAACCTGTATAAGGAACGGGCCTACCGGGCGGGCCGCAAGGCATAGGGTGGCGCCTACGGAATCGTCGCGACTCCAGGGTCGCCCAAGCGGACCCCGACGCATGGGGAGTCCACGAGGAGGATTCGCAAACTGCCTGTCTGCAGTCGCAAACTCCATGTTCCGGAAAGGCCTCGCTGGAACATGAGCCGGGAAATGCCGTCAGAGACCGAAAACAGCTACCAGAGACGAGGGAGCTGAACCCAAAACGCGCCCGCCCGCGGGCCCAGAATTGGTTCAGCTCCCTAGGGGCCCCCAAGAGAGAACCAAAGGACGACCATTTCGAGCCTTTCCCACCAGGATGGCCCCAAGAGCCCCCCAGAAGCCTCCGAGGCGCCCTCAAAAGGCCTCCACGAGGCTCCCAAGAAACCCCCAAGAGGCCCCCAAGAAGCCCCAAACAGCGCCCCAGATGCCCCCAAGCCTCTACGAGGCCCCTGAGAGGCATCCCAAGAGCCACTCATATGCATCCAAAAGACTCCTGACACACTAGATAACTTCACGCTCGTCGCAAGCTCTTAGTTTGCGCCGACATCCAACTGGAACACGGCAGAGGAGAGGTCCAGAACCCCACCGCCGGCACGCGAGGGGCAGTCGCGAGGACGAGTCCTCCTCCTCCTCCTCCTCCTCCTCCCCCTCCACCTCCTCATCCTCCTCAGCCTCTTCTTCCCAATCCTCCTCCAACTCCAACCCGTCTCCACGAAGCGTCGCGATCCACGCGCGATCGAACGAATTCATCCCCCTCCACCTCCTCATCCTCCTCCTCCTCCTCCTCCTCCTGTTCGTCGTCCTCCTCGAGGCGAACCCGGCCGCCACCGAGCGATCGACCTCTTCCCCCTCCTCCTCGGACGAGGCGGCGGGAGCCGGGAGCGGGGCGGCGAGCGGGGCGATGAGCACGCGCGCCCGCGGGGCCCAGGCGGCGGCTGCGGCGGCAGCGACGCCGACGACGAACGACTCCGACACCGACAGCGAACACGATGACGGCGACGGCGCCGACGACGACAAGACGACGACGACGACGACGACGACGACGACGACGACGACGACGACGACGACGACGACGACGACGACGACGACGACGACGACACACGACGACGGCGACGACGACGACGACGACGGAAGACGACAACGAACGGCGACGAAGACGACGACGGACGACGGATGAGACGGATGACGGACGACGGACGTCGGACGACGAAGACGACGAGGGCGAGGACGACGACGAGGACGACGAGGACGAAGAAGACGAACACGACGAACGCGACGCCGACGACGCCAGCCGCCGACAACAACGACGGCGACGACGACCACGGCGACGACAACGACGAAGACGACGACGACAACAAGGATGGCAAATTCTTACTCCCTCTTTCCCCCTCCTGTTCCTTGTCCTCCCCGAGGCGCAACGGCCGCCACCCAGCGATCGAGTTTTTACCTCTCCTCCTCGGACGAAGCGGCTGAAACCAGGGGCGTGGCGGCGAACGGAGCGACACGCGCGAGCGCGCGCTCGCGCGGGGCCCGGGCGGGGCGGCGGCGGCGGCGGCGACACCGACAACAACCGACGACGACCGACGCCGACACCGACACCGACACCGAACACGATGCCGGCGACGACGCTGACGACGACGACGACGATGGAAGACGACGACGGAAGACGACGACGGATGAGACGGACGGAAAAAGGATGTCACGGAGTCTGCGCTGGAACCTTGTTCTTGAGCCCTCTTGAGCCACCCGAGCCTGTCGACGACTACGCCGCCGACGACGACGACGACGACGACGACGGCGACGACCACGACGATGACGAAGACGCTGGCGACGTGACGAGGGGCAACAGCGCGGGCGGAGGGTCCAGGATATCCGACGTCCAGGGGTGTAGCCTGTTGGGGGGCTCGCCTCTCTGCGGGGCCCTGGGGCCGCCCCATTGGACGGCCCAAGAGTCCCACGAAGCGGCCGTAGGCCCCCACTTATTTGCAATACCCATGAATTTCGGATGCCCTAGATAGCGTTGCTCCTCCTCCTCCCCTCCTCCTCCTCCTCCTCCTCCTCCTCCGCCTACCCCTGTATTCCTCCTTCTATAATGATTTCTCCTCCTCGTCCTCATAGTCGCCCTCCTCTGTATCCTCCTCCGACATGTAGCTCCCCCCCCGGCGGGACGGAAGGGGGGCGATTTGTTAATGCCCCCTGGCGCCAATGCCCGTCCTCAAGTCCTCACTGCGGACACGGCCAGAGGGGAGGTCGCTCCTCCAATGCTGAAGACCCCCCTCTTCCTCTTTATCCCTCTTCCTCCCTCCTGACACCTGCCACCTGCCCAAATCGTTGGGCTGGTCGCTGTTGCTCGCGGCCAACGCCCCCCTCGCGACGGCGGGGGGGGGGCCGAACCCGGCGATCTCGGTTGCTCGAAACCCATACATGATGGACCCACGAACCCGGAAAGGGATATAGACATGTGGAGCATGGGCACGTTTTCACGATACCCAACGGGGCAACACCTCACGAAACATCCCACGAGACACCTCACGAAACATCCCACGAGACACCTCACGAAACATTCCGCGAGACACCTCACGAAACAATCCAGGAGACACCCCGCGAAACATTCCACGAGACACCCCACGAAACATTCCACGACGACAGGCAACCACTCAACAAAGGCGGTGTGGTCGTGCTGGGGAGCGGTCGTGCTGGGGAGTGGTCGTGCTGGGGGATGGTCGTGCTGGGGCGTGGTCGTGCTGGGGGGGTGGTCGTGCAGTGGGGTGGTTTTGCAGGGTCTATGGTCGTGCTGGGGGGCGTGGTCGTGCGGGGCGTGGTCCGTGCTGGAGTAAGGTCGTGCTGGGGAGAGTCGTGCTATGGTATGTGGTCGTGCGGGTATGGTTCTTGCCTAGGTTGGGGTCGTGCTGGGGTGGGGTCGTGCTGGGGGTGTGGTCGTGCTGGGGGGTGGTCGTGCTGGGGCGTGGTCGTGCTGGGGGGTGGTCTTGCTGGGGCGTGGTCGTGCTGGGGTGTGGTCGTGCTGTGGTGAGGTCGTGCTGGGGTGTGGTCGTGCTGGGGTGTGGTCTTGCTGGGGTAGGGTCGTGCTGGGGCGTGGTCGAGCTGGGGCGTGGTCGTGCTGGGGCGTGGTCGTGCTGGGGTGTGGTCGTGCTGTGGTGAGGTCGTGCTGGGGTGTGGTCGTGCTGGGGTGTGTCTTGCTGGGGTAGGGTCGTGCTGGGGTCGGGTCGTGCTGGGGTGTGGTCGTGCTGGGGTATGGTCGTGCTGGGGTGGGGTCGTGCTGGGGTGGGGTCGTGCTGGGGGGTGGTCGTGCTGGGGGAGTGGTCGTGCTGGGAGGTGGTCCTCAGAATTCTATAACACAAAACAAGCGTTTCGCTCGAGACATCCTCACCATTTTCTGAAAAACAAGCGTTTCGCTCGAGACATCCTCAAATTTTAATTCGCCGGCCTCAAAAACAAGCGTTTCGCTCGAGACATCCTCAAATTTTAATTCGCCGGCTCGTTATTTATCAGGGAAAAAATTCGCCGGCAATTCGCCGGCTCGTTATTTATCAGGGAAAAAATTCGCCGGCCTCCTTCAAGCAGGCACCGGGGGACAGGTTTACCTACTAAAAGAGAACCCTGGGCCTACGCCCTTTCCGGGAAAAATCATTAAAAAAACTGGTTTCAAACAGGGGGCCACATGTGAACCCTACCTCTATCCCCCACGACTTCTGAGTTCACTTCGTCCGGGAGCCCTCGAGCGAAGCGAACCCCCGCCTCCCCCTCAGAAATCGCGAGGGTTGGGGCAGGGTTTACCTGTGGCTCCCCCCCGTTCAGGGGAGCTGCAGGGTGTCCCCAAGAGCTGGAGGAGAGGTGAAAAGCAGCAGGTGGGGAATAGATCTGGAATCGCATGCCGACACGGCCTGGATCAAGGGGGCCAACGATTTCACGTACTAACTCACAAAATGGTTTTAAGCCCAACGTGTTCCCAGAAGCTTCCCCTGGAAGACACATGGGGGAAGAATGAGCATCGGTTCGAAATCAAGCCCTCGGCCAAATCAAAGCTGAGTCAAAGAACCGAACCCAAGACATCAACGGAAATACGGTCCTGCGGCGTTTTCCCACAGTTGTCGCACTGGAGATCATCGGCGCCGCCCGCCGCCCCTTCATCGGCACCCCCTTCTGGTGAGAACAGCGCCGCCTCGAGGTCCTCGAGTGCCTCCGCGGGCGGATCCTCAAGGTCAGCGGCCGCCGGGGCGCCTGCGATGCGTCGGCCTAGGGACCAAGAAGTCAGCACCAATGCCGTGATCGACGGCCGACGGCCGCCCTATGGAGTGAAGGAGGCCCCCGACCTCCGCGTTAGCGATAAAACTCAAACTTTGCAACGCCAGCAACAACAAAATCAGTGACCCCTTTTCCCTCGGTGGAGCGCGGCCGCCGACATTGTTGGCGCCAACTTCTAAGGCTCCGATGCCTCGCAAGCCCTTCGCTGGCGGCATGGCGAGACCCCCGAAACTCGAAAGCTGCAGTCGCGGCGGCACTGCAACCCATGTCGGAGCCGGAGCGGGCTGCGGTCAAACGCCCCCAAATGACAATGACTCGCCATTGCCTCGTGCGCGCTCTCGGGCGGACGCCCAAGAGAGGCTGGGGGGGGGCGAACGGGGAGGAATTGAAAAACAAACGATTGGGGAAAGGGGGGGTGAAGCGGGCATCGGACATTTGTTCGCCACCGGCTTTTGGCATCTGGAGTCTAGCAGCTACTGGGCCCCCCAATGACCTTGCGTCGCTTCGGCAAGGGATCCTCATGGGCCGGCACCCAGGTGGCGAGATCTTCCCGCCGTTGAATCCAGGGGGCTTTCGGATTCAGATAATACGCTAAGAGGACCGTCGCGAGGCACGGTACGAAAATCCCCTCACCGGCGAGCTCGCGTTGCTTGCTCTCTGAAAGCGTGCCTAGCTGCATGGTCGACGGCAATGCCTGTAGTAAGAAGTGATCCCTGCCGCTCAGAATCGACCCCCGGGCAAAGTCAAACAAGAAGCTCGAAGTTATCAATGTCTTCAGGGCGCCCCATGGCTCCCTGTACACGGACTGATTGCAATCGCAGAAAAAATTATCCACGGTTCTCTCCGATGGGGGCCTGCTGCACCACGCCACCTCCAAGACGTCGCGGATTCGCGCGCCTGGGCGGGGGACACCAACCGTCGAGATGCCAGCGCTTAGCAAAGCCCCCGTCATATGCGGCGGCAACTCGAATTTAGCGCGAGTCCTAAGTGAATCAATCTGCCACTGCTTCCACATGCCCAGCCTCTCGCTCTTGGCCTCCTCTGCTGCGAGCGCCTCCTGGGAACGTTAGCTCGGACGACAAGGGCCCCTGCGAATAAACCGTTGGCCCCCGACCCGTTGATGCGCGCCAGGAGAAACCCAATACGGCCCAAGGCAACTCCAGATGGCATTCACGCGGCCCCAAGTGCCCCAAGATGGCTCGATATGGGCGGCCCAAGACTCTCCCAGACGGGCCAGGGGGGTCCCACCGGCGCGCGCTGCTTCGGAAAAGGGCGGTAAGAAAAACGTTGCCCCGCCGACACGCCCATGACAATGACAATTGCCCAATAGGGGCAACCCGCGGCCGCCCACTTTGGGAAACAATGTCAGCATGGTGCGCGACGCCCAGCCGCTGGCGCCAATTTTTCATTATGCGCGGGCGAACCGCATAATTAGCAGCCCACCGCATAACAGACCAACAACCAAAGTAGGAAATAACGGGGGATAGGAGACGGAGGATTGTAAATGATGATAATTAAGGAAGAAATAAAAATTAGCCTGGCGAAGAACCCAACCATATGCAGTTGTGAGTACCGCAGCTGTGGGTTTCATCTTCAGTGGAACTCCCCATGGGACCACGGAACGTGTGAGGGGTGTGCCGAGATGGGTTCCACTGGAGCTTTCGGTGAAGCTCCCTGTGGGGCCATGAAACACGCGCGGGGCGCGCCGACATGGGTGGCGGAAACGTATGTGAGGGCCGCCACTGGGGCCTCCAGTGGAGCCCACCTGGGGCCCCGAAACAAGCGGGGAGTAGCCGTGATGGGTGGCGGAACGCATGTAATTGCCTCCACAGGCCTTCGGCGGAGCTCCCTATGGGGCTACGACGCGTGTGAGGGGAGTTACCGGATGTTGTGGGGGACGCAAGTTAGCGCCGCCAACAGGGGCCCAATACGGAGGCAGCTCCCGAAATAACTATATGGGGCCACGAAACGTGTGAGGGGTGTGCCGAATTAGGTGCGGGTGACGCATGCGGGCGGTGCCACTGGGGCCTTCGGTGGAGCTCCCTATGGGGCCACGATACCTGTGAGGGGCGTGCCGGGATGGGTGGCGGGGACGCACGTGAGCGCGGCCACTGGGGCCTTCGGTGGAGCTCCCTATGGGGCCACGAAGCGTGAGACGAGGGGGTGTGCGCGATTGGTGGGTGTGGGTGAACGCAATGTGAGCTGCCGCCACTGGGGCCATCCTTTGGAAGCTCCCTATGGGCCACGAAATCGTGTGAAGAGGGAGTAGCCGAATTGGGTGTTGTAGGGTGCCGCAATGTGAGCGCGCCACTGGGGCCCTGGTGGAGCGTAGTTATGTGTGGCGTTGACGCATGCTGGCGGCCAGCACTGGGCCGTCGGTGGAGCTCCCTATGGGGCCCTACTAAACGTGTGAGGGGTGTGCCGAAATGGGTGTGCGTGACGCATGCGGGGCGGCAGGCACAAATGCCCCTCGGTGGAAGCCTCCCTAGGCCACGAAACGTGTGAGGGTGTGCCGAATTGGATGTGGGTGACGCATGCGGGCGGCAGCACTGGGGCCCTCGGCGGAGCTCGAATCGTATGGGGCCACGAAACGTATGAGGGGTGTGCCGAATTGGGTGTGGGTGACGCATGCGGGCGGCAGCACTGGGGCCTTCGGCGGAGCTCCTATGGGGCCACGAAACGTGTGAGGGGTGTTCCGAATTGGGTGGGGGTGACGCATGCGGGCGGCAGCACTGGGGCCTTCGGCGGAGCTCCAATGGGGGCCACGAAACGTGTGAGGGGTGTGCCGAATTGTGTGTGGGTGACGCATGCGGGCGCAACGCTGGGCCCTTCGAAGGAAATCCAATTTGTGCCACGAAAAACGTAGTGAGGGGTTGTCCGAATTGGAGTGCGGACGCATGTGCGGGCGGCAGCACTGGGGCCTTCGGTGAGCTCCCAATGGTGCCCACGAACAAGATGAGGTGTGTGCCACCGAAATATGTGCGGTGAACGCATGCGGGGGCAAGCACTGGGCCTACGGAGGAGGCTTCCCTATGGTGCCACGAAACAGTGAAGGGGGTGTGGCCTGAAATAGGGTGTGCGAGAACGCAAGCGGGCGCCAGCGCTTGGGGCCTACGTTGGAGCTCCCTATGGGGCCACGAAACGTGTGAGGGGTGTGCCGAAATGGGTGTGCGGGACGCATGCGGACGGCAGCACTGGGCCTTCGGTGGAGCTCCCTGTGGGGCCACGAAACGTGTGAGGGGTGTGCCGAAATGGGTGTGCGGGACGCATGCGGACGGCAGCACTGGGGCCTTCGGTGGAGCTCCCTGTGGGGCCACGAAACGTGTGAAGGGGTGTGCCGAAATGGGTGTGCGGGACGCATGCGGACGGCAGCCATGGGGCCTTCGGTGGAGCTCCCTATGGGGCCACGAAGCGTGTGAGGGGTGTGCCGAAATGGCGCGGTGGGCGCATGCGAGCGCAGCCATTTGGGCCTTCGGTGGAGCTCCCTGGGGCCGCGAAACGTGTGAGGGGTGTGCCGAAATGGCGCGGGTGGTGATGGTGATGATTGCAGCGGAGAATGATTAATGATGGCTATGAAGAAGATGATGGATGTTGGTGGGTGATGATGGTCGTGAGGATTACACGGCCGTAACAAGGCCGCAAATAACATCGGACAAGAAAACAGGAACATGAGGACCCTCCTGCGGGCCAAAGTAAACCCCAAACCATAAGGACGTCGAAGGACGCCCTTCCGAGTGTTCCCCGCACCTTCACTTCCGACCAACGGCGTAAGTACGCCCTTGCTGCCAGCAAGGCGTGCGTGAAGCCTTTCGACCTGCACACGCTGACCACGCAACCCTCGAAGCCCAGACACCCCCCCCCGCCCCCCGAGACCCACGCTGTGTTCCTGTGCCCTGGATCTGCCTCCGCGCGTCCGTCGTCATCCACGAGCGCGCGGTTGCTGGAGGCAGTACGTTGACATCGAGACCGAAGAACATGGAGGGTCTTGTCCGCGCCGCGGACGCGCGAGGCCTGCGACCAGCTTAGTCGGGCTCTAGCAGTGGGCCTCAGCGCCACGTCTCACGCCCTGGCACTCATGCACGCGCGCGAGCTCTCGCCCCAACCCCGCGGCGCCCCAGGGAGCTTCGCGCGACCTCGCCTGCTCGCCCCAGACTCAAGGCCGCGGCCGCGCGGCCTGGCCCCCGCCACCCTAGGCCCTAGGCCCAGCTCCAGGCTGCTGTTGCCCATAAACAAGAACATGCGAGGGTGTGCGTCTCCGCGCCGCCGTCATCCACGAGCGCGCGGCTGCTGGAGGCGACGCGTTGACACCGAGACCGAAGAACATGGAGGGTCCTGCCCACGCCGCGGACGCGCGAGGCCTGCGGCCAGCTTAGGGCTCTAGCAGTGGGCCCAAGCGCCACGTCTCACGCCCTGGCACTCATGCACGCGCGCGAGCTCTCGCCCCAACCCCGCGGCGCCCCCAACAACTCTGGGTTTTGCAGCGGCGCAACTCATGGGTTTTGGTGCATGTGTTCCAGGCCAACATGGCGACTCTTCTATTGCCGATAACGCGAAGCCCCGCACGCGCACACGCCGCCGCGCGCGCGGCGGCGCAGGCGCGCGCGAGGAGTGTTTGTCTGCGCTGTTGTAGAACACATGCACCAAAACCCATGTTAACTTCGAAATCCAATCGGCAACCACTAAGGGTTCACTTTGATTTCCCAGGCCAACATGGCGACTTTTCTATTGCTGATAACGCGGGGCGCCCCACGCGCACGCGCCGCCGCGCGCGCGCGCGAGAGGTTGCTGTATACGCCGTTGCAAGACACGAACACCAGAACCCATGTTGACTTGGAAATCCAATCGGCAACCGCTAGTGGTCCACTTCGATTCTCCAGGCCAGCATGGCGCTTCTTCTACTGCTGATAGCACTGAGCGCCCCACGCCCCTGCGCCGCCGCGCGCGCGGCGGCGCTGCCGCGCGCGCGGCGGCGCAGGCGCGCGCGAGAAGTGTTTGCATGCGCCGCTGCAGAACACATGCACCAAAACCCATGTTAACTTGGAAATCAAACTGCCCACTTCCAAGGGCTCCCTTTGAATTCCCCAATCAACGCGGCAACTGTCCTATTGCTGGAGCTGCGGCGTTTCTCGCGCGCGCGCGCCGCCGCGCAGGAACGCGCGAGAATTTGTGCGGGCGCTGTTGCAGAAGACATGCACCAGAAACCATGTTAACTTGGAAATCCAAATGGCAACCGCTAAGGGTTCACTTTGATTTTCCAGGCCAACATGGCGACTCTTCTATTGCCGATAACGCGAAGCTCTGCACGCGCACACGCCGCCGCGCGCGCGGCGGCGCAGGGCGCGCGCCGAGAGTGTTGTCCTGGCGCTATTGTTAGAACACATTCACCCAAACCCCATGTTTGAACTACGAAAATCCAATCGGCACCCACTAAGGGTTACACTTGATTTTCCCATGCCAACCTGATGAACTGTACTTTACTATTGCTGATAACGCGGGCGCCCCACGCGCAACGCTGCGCCGCGCGCGCGCGGCGCCGCCGCGCGCGGGGCGGCGCGGGCGCGCGCGAGGGGGCGTTGTATACGCCGTTGCAAGACACTTACACCAGAACAAATGTTGACTTGGAAATCCAATCGGCAACCGCTAGTGGACCACTTTGATTCTCCAGGCCAACATGGCGCTTCTGCTACTGCTGATAACACTGAGCGCCCCACGCCCCTGCGCCCGCCGCGCGCGCGGCGCGCCGCCACGCGCGCGGCGGCGCAGGAGGGCGCGCGCGAGAAGTGTTTTCATGCGCCGCTGCAGGACACATGCACCAAAACCCATGTTAACATGGAAAATCAAAAACTGCACACTTCCAATGGCTCCCTTTACATTCCCCAGTCAACGACGCGGCAACTGACCTATTTCGGGCGCTGCTCTGCGTTTATCACCGAGAAGTCTTGCTCGCCCGTTGCAGAAGACATGCGTTGCGAAACCATGTTTAACTTGGAAATGCAAAGTGGCAAACCTCAAGGGTCCACATTGAATTCCAGGCCAACATGGCACGCTTCTATTGCC